TTTTTTTTCTCATTCAATTGATATTAGGTGAAAATGCAGCGGCAAATAATGGCTGTTTCTTTACTTTCAATTTTGTGTGCTTGACAGTCTATTATTGAGTATTTCACTAAATTATGCAACAACCCCCTTTGGCCAAGGGCATAAATAGCTTTAATTTGTTTAGCTATATATTGTCCAGAAATTGGTCCTCGAAAGATCCAGGTACGTTTATTGAGATCTTAAAAGCATTTCTATTCATGTTAAATTGACATGGTTAGATTTCAAATCCATCCCAAAACACATCCACCCATTTTTTGGGTCACCAAGGTTGCCGCCAACCATGTCGATTATGAGTCCGGATCTAAATCCATGGCATTAACGTCAGTGCGGCCTCTGATTTTTTATTTTTTGCACCAGGCACATGCAATGTGTTATTAGTACACGCACCCAACTAAAAGAGTGGGGCGACAAAGATTTTGTCGCCTAGGGTCCACCACAACGGCTATTTCCAATGTACTCGACACGTGGCCAAATCTAAGACCTCGGTTTCAAATTCTCATTTTAATCCAATGATTCTTATTATTTTCTGTAATAATAACTTTTTAAAAATTCAAAAAAAATTTTTAGGAAAAATATAAATAAAAATTTCCAATGTTTACATGTAATTATTACGTATATCTTATTAAGTTTTTAAGATGTAGCACAATTCATTTATTAAAATCTAAACAAATATTTTTATAGACATGAACACGTGACATAATCATAGTCACCTATTCTAAATTAATCTCATCTGTTCAATAATTACTATAATTGAACTATAAATTATAAATAAATAAATCTTTCTGAATAGTAAAACCATGTCCGTTACTATTCACAATGGGTGGAGAATATAGTAACAGCCATGTCAATTTACCATTTAAGTGAATAGTAACTGCCATAACTCCATTCCTAAAGTCAAATTCACTAAAATGGGTGAAAATGCTATAAAGGTTCCAGGTGACATGCATGCATGACATAAATATATTAGAAAAGTGAAGAAAAATCACATTTAACATGTGACAATCTTGCTCTCTTTTCTGTAAACATCTCCAGAGAGGAAGCTCAAAGTTAACAATTTTTTTTTTTTTTAAACTGAATATGTATCGCAAAATCACTATGGTTTATCATACAATTATTACATACTTTTCATGCAATGGTGAAATATCACTTTTAACATTTTTATCATTTTTAGCATTTTTATCAATTTATTAATATGTTGAATATGAATTCCACCAATAAGGAAATTCATGATCTAGAGAGATTTTTTCTGTGTGCCTGTTAATATTCAGTGGAAGTCATCACTGTACAAATAATTTATTTTAAAATTGAAAGCAACTTGCCCTTTAAAATTGTATCTTAAAAGAAATATATGTTTGTAATATTCCATAACAGTTTCAATACATAATGCAATATGATGAAGCGATCGTTCTGTTTCATAAGTACAATATATATATATACATATAAAGGGCGCTTAAATTGAGAAATTATTGAAATATTCTTGTCGAGTCAAACTCCAATGCGTTACAATGATCCGAAACCTGTAGTTTTTAGGTAAATCTATAGTGATAAGGTCTAGGAGAGACCACAATTGTGTGTGAAATAAGAGACGGAAACATAAAGCGCCATATTTTTGCATGACCTAACGCAGCATGATGCAGATTATAGCCTTTTCGCAGCAATTTCATGTGGAACTGGATCCCCTCCGGATCTCAATAATCTGAGCTAAGGATCAAATGATCTAGACCGTTGAAATTTAATCCAACGGTTACAAACAGGGATTCCTCTAAAAGTTATAATAATTGTAGTCGTTAGATCAAATTTTAACGGTCTGGATCAAATGATCATTGGGCTCAGATTATTGGGATCTGAAGAGGATCCGATTCCATTTCATGTGTCACAAGCAGAAACTGCATGCAATATTTATATATTTTTACAAAGGCTTTTTAGCTAAAAGGGTCCCTGAGATTTGCATAACTCATCACTTTGGTCCCTGAGATTTGAAATCAATAAAAATGGTCCCTGAGTTTGTCCATAATCAATCATTTTAGTCATTCCTTGAAAAATTAAGGACCAAATGATAAAAATACCCTCAATTTAATAAACAATGGGCCAAAATGATTTGACAAAAATTGAGGATGTTTTTGTCATTTTATCTTTATTTAATGGAGATTTTTCAAAGAATAACCAAAATGATTGATGATGGACAAACTCAGGAACCACTTCTATTGATTTCAAATTGACCAAAATAATGAGTTATGCAAATCACAAGAACCATTTTGGCTAAAAAGACTTTTACAAATCAAATAGAACACAATTCATTCATTTTTGTTACCAACCGGCAACCAGCTTAAAAGGACCCCTCGATCTCCAATGCCTTTTCGACCTTTACACTGATGCTATCTTGTATATCATGGAGCTGGAGCCCTTGGAATAATGGTGAACTGGGGCAATGGTCAACTCATATCGAATTATATATATATATATGTGTGTTTACCAATTATTATGCAGTTTAGTATTCTGTATGATGCATAAAATTTGTTAAGTTGGCCTTGTTTTTGTTTTTCGTTTAAGGAGCCTCCAAAATTTAATTTAGAATGTCATATTCGAAGATTATAAACTTACTTAAAATATTTCATAATCTGATAGATTACTATCGTTTCAAAATAAAAATCACACATTACCAAATTAATTATCATGGGTACAAACAAATTATAATTATCGCGGGACAGTAACTCTTTGACTCTGACTTTATTTGATTATTATATTTGTTTCATTTTTAATCATCGTATTTGTTGTAAATTATTATGTGAAAATTATAAGTGGTGGAGTGTTCTGGTGATCAGGGTTTTTTCTGTTCAACTTATTATGTTTCGGATTAAACTCTCTCCCACCATTTAGTATAGGTTACTGTTGAATATCGGTTGTAGTAAAAAAAAAAAAAAAATCATGTAACAACTAAAAAGTATAGATGCATTAATCAAGTTTAAGATATATGACTATGACAAGTTTTTCTGCTTCGTTTGGGTCTTTCCCAGTGTATGATTAATCAAGATGGAAATATCAACTGATGATTTGAGACATAATCATGGGGGCAAGTTCCCCTTGTTTTTCCTTAATTCTATTTGCTAACTCCAACTTATTGAGTAATACTCAAGCAAAACAAGTACCAGTTTCTGCAGGGTATTTATGTTCTCTAAAGGCCTTCCAATGACTAAATTTAATATTTTTTAAGAGCCCCTTGCACATATTATTCGAAAGATAATGTTAGAGAACTTATATTTTTAAACAAAATGTTATGTCATCAATAAAAAATAAACACGTTAATCAACACTTAAGTAATAATCTAATTATCAACAACCACATCATTTGGTTTACAAAATTTAGTTTAAAATTTTGGTCTCCTAGCGTTATCTTTCAATAAACCAATTAGAGAAATACTAAGGGCACTCTTTCAAAGTGAAACTTTCAATAAACTCTCTGCTAACTCACATTTTAACATCAATTATCGTGCTAACATTATAAAATATTATGTAAAAAATAAGTGACAGAAAGTTTAAAGAGAATTCCACTTTTAAAAGAGTATCGCATCATTTCTCAAACTATTAGTATTTGAATTATATGAAAAGATTGAAACCAAACTGAACCCACTATTATTGGATTACAATTTTAACCTTTTTAATCCATATGATTTCTGTTTTGCATTCCTTTATCTGTCATTGTATTGAACGTAAAACGTCAACAATTGTCTCTGGTCAATGTTACCAAGACTATTTTTAGTAATTTCTCTTATAACAGATCAACTCCGAGTTGAATCTCATTAAATGTCATTGCAACAACAACAATCAAGTTTTATCTTACTAAATTAGGTCGGTTATATGAATTCTTAAATGTCACTGCCTTCGATTTTACGCCATATCTTTCGTTAGTTAAAAGTACTCCATATTTTTTCTTCATCTCTTTGCAATCTTTGTAAGTCTTTATTTACCCATTTTTTGCCATGATTTTCCGTATCATAGCCGTATTTTCTAAACCTATAATTGCATTCACCATAAAACGCCAAATATTCTTTTTGAAAAATGTTACGAAGACTATTTTTTGTCATGTCTCGTAACAACTCACGTCTCATTGGAATCCCTTTATTCGTTGGTACTTTTACTGTTTTAAAAAATGTTACGAAGACTATTTTCCGTCACCTCCCAAATAACGGTGCAATTCACTAGTAACTTCGGTAGCTCTACCAAAAAAGTGGTGAACAAAATGGTGCGAACTTGCCAACGTTTGAACGCGTGTGCGTTTTGAGCCCGGCAATATGACATAGCAAAAGTGGCTAGAAACGAAATAAATTTTACTTTATGTGAACGTGTGACAAATAAATCTTGACCAAGAAAACAAAAGCAACAAAAATTGGAGGCCGCACATTTCACACACCTATTTGCTATTTGGACCCAATCCAACCGGCCACAACCGCAAATCGCGGTACTACAGTAACACTCCGAGTCAACTCGTTTGAGCAAAAAGAATGCCACGGTGGGTGAGATCAGTGATTAATTAACTCCTATTTTGGTATAGATCTGGTTCGTTTGTCATTTTGGTTTTTTACTTATCGAAGACTTTCAACAGAAGAACCAAAATAATTGACGGTAGATAAATTTAAAGATCAGTTTTATTAATTTCAAATCTCAGAGAGCAAAAAATAATTGACGTTGGTCAAACTCAAAAATCAATTTTATTGATTTCAAATTTCAGAAATAAAATGACGAGTTAGAACAATGACAATTTTGGCTTATGAGACAAGTATAGTTAAAAACAATTATACTTATTACAATTAACAATTTGACACAAATAAGGAATTGTTATTAGTATTTTAAAAATCTTATGTGACACTTCAAACTTTTTATATAATTAGAAGAAAATATAAACTTAAGAAGAGTTTAAAATAAGATTTTCTGAATGCTAATAACAATTCCCCACAAATATTATCATCTGCAAAAATATATATAACTTTATTATATATAAATTCTCATTAATCCTCCAAAATTAATACATAATAATTATACACTCTGAACAAAACTCCTCACTTATCAACTAAAGTCTCCGTCAACTTTTTAACGGAGAAATAATTAACTACTAAACACTAACACAGCAAAATAAATAAATAAATAAAAAGCGTCCGAAACAAAAATCGATCGGCCAGCCAACGGCGGCAAAACTGTGACTCTGGCTCTGTCAGCGGTGGCTCAGAGGACCACAAGAGGGTCGGAACCAAACAAAATGTCTTGAAAGTAGTCATCCCCTTGGAACATAGGCGACGCCGTATGGGACAACGACGTGTCGTACGTGTCTCGGTACAACTCGCTGAAATCGTCCTTCATAAAACAATCCGGAAGAGAGGCTGCCGCGGCGGGGACGTCGTCGAAAAACAGAGGCGAATCGAACAGCGGCGACTCCGGTGCGGGGAAACTGAATGCGTCGTCGAAGTACGGCAAGTCCAGAGGCAAATAGTTACCGAAATATGACAAATCGTCGGATAAAATGTTCGTACCGGTTTCGGTTTCGTCTTCGTCCTCATCGACTCGGTCGAACACCTGAATTTTTTGGGGCTTGCCAGCGTCTTCAATGCTGGGTTGGCTTCTGAAGTGGAGGACGGAGGTTGGAGACGCCAGATTGTGAGATTCCGACCCGGAATCGTAACCGGAAGCCGACGTCGTTCCGTTAGTCTCCACCTCGATGGACTCAATAACCGGTGGCTCTGGCTTTTCCTCTTCCTTCGGCGGCGGAGCCACGAAATTAGTCAAAGCATCAGGACCGCGGAGCTTAATGGCGGCATTATCGTACACCATGGCGGCTTCCTCTGCCGTGTCGAAGGTCCCCAACCACAGCCGTTGACGTCTGGCAGGATCTCTAATCTCGGCCGCCCACTTCCCCCAAGGCCGTTGCCTTACGCCGCGGTACTTCTTGCCGCCGTTGGGCGGCGAAACCGCGTTCTTCATCGGCCGCCGATTCACCGGAACCTCAGCCGCCGGCCGTTTGCGGCCGTTGTTGATGACAAGGCTGTTCCTGAAGTCGGTCTCGATGTTGATTTCGTTGACGTAGTGCTTCACTCTCTGCCGCCCGAAAAACTCCTCCTCTTCGTCGCTGGAGGAGTCCGTGGCGTCCGGATCGGTCACAGATATCCGTACGATTCTCGGCGTGACCGTGGAAGCGGACTCGGATGTCGCCTTCTTCCGAGGTTTCATCAGCTTCTTTGTCGTGCTTCTGTGCTCTGAGTATTTGATTGGACACAGAATACTCGACTCCATTTTTGTACCCAAATTCCGTTTTTTTTTTTCTTTTGGGTTCTTCGCCTTCTCTAAATTCGCATCGAACGCAAAAAAAAATCAAGAACCCAATAGAGAACAGGGCGAGATGAGCAGATCAAAAAGCAGAAAGACAGAAGACCTTCAAACACAGAAAAAAAACAACAGCAAAAATGGTAACAAAAAATTGCTGATCAAAATCCAGGAACGAGAAATCTAGCAAGTATTTTAGAGAGAGAAACGGAAGGAGATTTGTAGAGAGAGAGAGAGAGAGGTGGAAAAGCGTACGGAAAGCTCGAGACTTGAGAGGGAGTGTGGCGTTGTGGCGAGAGGACTGAGAAAATTTGAGTGAAGACGAAGCAAAAGAGCAAGGGTTGAAAACCCAACACAGAAATCGCTGTTATATAGGATCCAACAGCCAAATTTAGAAAACCCTCCCTCTAAATTTATTTATTTTTCATTTAAATTTTCCTCCTAATTTTTAGCACTTCATAAAAAATTCTATTTTTTGAATTATTTATTTTAAATATGGGAAAAATATCGGGTAATTGTGTTTTTGTATTCTGTAGGCAACCCGTGGGGGATACGAGAGAGAGAGAGATACCAAATACGCACCGCCGCATCCCGAGAACGCATTGAGACTCTTCCACGTAGACATTGTGGGCCCGGGGAGAGTACGGGCGCAATGAGCGAACATCACACGGTGCTGACTCAGCAAAATATCGTTTCGTTTCGTTTGTTTTTATCTTGAGTTTCGTGAGGCCTGTCACGTGAGGCCCAAGATACCCGGCCCTGCTCCATTCGCCGGTCAAACAATTTGACCGCTCACACGGGCCAATTGGTTAATTTACTCCCTCGCTCTTTTCTGCAAGTGGGTAAATAAGGTGAGAACCGAGGGTGTAATCGTCATTTGACAAATGCCGGTGGCGATTTGGGTTTTTTTTTTTTTTTACCTGTATTTTTTTATAGAATTTATGTTTTTAACAGTTGGGAGTAACGTGGCGGGTGTTTGTATGTCTGTGGGTATTTTCTGCCCTATTTTTTTGGTTTTACCGAGATATGCTCACCTTCCCAATCTCCATCACTTTAAATTTTATACACGGTAATTTCTTGTGGAAAATAAATATTAAAAAATCCTAAAAAAATATATTTACACCACCCCCAAAAAAGGAACAATTTCAATTTCTTGGCAGCCAAGTCTTTAGGGATTTTCCCCGCACACGTCACTCATGACGAAGTCCACTTAGCATTTATCAAGTAAATCACAAGGAACTTTCTCAAAATAACGCTTTATATGAATTTTTTCATCATCTCATATTTTAGGCATAATATTTTAAATATTTATATAAAAATTAACGTTAAAATATGAGATGGTTAGAGTTCGAAGAGAGTTTTATTTTGAAATGTCTCCTCAACAACAACCAAGTCTTATTCCACTAAGTGGTGTTAGCTATATGAATCTTATAACGTCATTGCGCACTGCTTGGGACCAAATCTTCCGTTAGCATCAAGTGAGATCGTCATAGTAAGTAACGGTCGTTTGAAATTTTTTTGTGGGAAAAATTATTGGCATTAAATAATTTCCATAATATAAATTTATTTGCATTCAAGAAACAAATGCTTATTTGTATAACCTAATTAAATAAATGATAATTTTTTTAATTACATCAATAATCCAATACTAATATCCAGTGTCAATTTTATGAGTTAGTTTTGCAATTACATAATTAATTTGTAGCCTGGAATTATCACATAAAGCCAAAAAGAAAAGAAAAATAAAATAAGATAAAATGCACTCAAATGAAATCACGTCACAAATCTCGGTTACAATTTGGGCCTTTAATTTGTTTTACGAGTCATTTTGTCCATTAATTACTTGACACAAACAATTCTTAAGAAATGAAAATTTTCCAATTATAATACATCATCCTACAGAAACGAAAAAATTGGTCAAAATTTGTTCAATCATATCTAATTGTAGTAAGATATCGGCTAATAATTAGTCAAACTTCCTCTCAAGTTACCAAAGTTTTGGAAGACAAGATAGGAATTTGAAAACGAGGGATTTGCTCATTTACTCAAGATTATTTGGTGATTTATCATCAATGTGATGCGAGTCGAACCCTATTGCATCTTAAATGTAACACAAAGTTAACAAGTTATTGGAGGACCGGCAAAGATTGTTTGCTCATATCAAAATTTGTTCGATTTTGAAACTTAAAAGTATAGAAAATAGTTGACTGGCGATGCAATAGGGTGGCTGATTCAATGGCTTCATTTGTAAGTAGAATTGGGGGCAAACTCAAATGGGGTTAATTTTTCCTAAATTTCTTTTTAATATTCTATCAATAAATGTAAACATTTATATTCGATTTTAATTTTAATGAAATTCTATCAAAAAGAAAATAGTTGACTCGGCCTCTCAAAACTAGGGTTTAGGGTTAATTGTGAATTGTCAAACGCTTTGTTCATTCACCCGGCCTGATTTTTCTTAAGTGCATATCGTAATTGCAGATTGTCCATAGTTTATATCGTCTTATGCAATCATAGTACGACATTTAGCAATTAGGTTGGCTAGCTAAATTGTCCTCTACATATATGCTTAAGGAATGTGGGTAATATAAGTACATGTAGTTGTCGTTGTAATAACATCGTTATCGTTACCGTCAATTCCAATGCAAGTAACACAAACTCCAAGGACTAAGGAACTCGATTTTAATTGACTACTAGCTCAAAAACATGTTACTTCAACGATACTCTTGCCTGCAATAACGAAGACATGGACGACGGCCTTACTTGGAAGAATTTGACCTTGTTTAATTGGTCTACGACGGCAGTTTAAGAATGGTATTGAATATCAGTCTTTAACCCTAATACAGTTGGAAGAATAACAACAGCTAATACTAGCACTAAGTCTTTATCTAGCTGTTGTTATTCCCTCATCAGTGTAAAGCTTGTTAGTGGCTGTAAAGCTAGCTTAGCTGCCATTGTCCCCTAGCTGTAAAGCTAGCTTAGCTGCCATTGTCCCCTACCTTTTGTTCTTCACTCTCTTTCCCATTTCTCTTCTATTTATGTATGAATTTGTAACTGTTTGATATATGAAATATATATTAAGTTTTTCTATATGGTATTAGAGCAGTGATCCCTTTTGGACCTGCATCTATGTTCTTCTGAAATCTTACCAAATCCAAACCAGTTAAGCCATTATGGCAACACCATCAGAGAAAATTTCAAAAAACGAAACCATGGATACCAACCCAATTCAACGTTTGAGCTCTGTGCTCCTAAACGAATTCAACTATCTGCCTTGGTCACGAGCTATTTCTCTCGCTCTTGGAGGACGTGGAAAGCTCCCGTTCATTCAAAAGGATGATATCATGCCCGAAACAACTTCACCAGATTATGCAGCATGGGTGTCCCAAGATCAACTTATCATGTCTTGGCTGTTAAATTCTATGGAACCAAAGATGGCTGAGATTTTTAGTTATTCAGTGTCATCTCACCACCTTTGGAATTCTGTACGAGACATGTATGGAAATCTAAACAATGCTGCGCGAGTCTTCCAGCTGAAGAAAGATCTTACAGAATTACAACAGGGAAATCTCTCCTTTGTTCAACATCTTGGCAACTTGAAGGCCAAATGGAATGAATTGGATCTCTACAGACCTCATACCACGGATACAACCATTCTTTTAAAGCGTGCTATAGAAGACAAGGTATTCCAGTTGCTTGCCAGCATTGGACCAGAGTATGAAGACCTTAAAAGCCATCTCTTGATGACACCTGAACTTCCCACCTTCCAGATGGTCTGCAATGTTATTCAACGCGAAGAAATAAGAAAGAAGGTCATGAATGCAGACGTGGTCATTGGAGAATCAGATCTTAGGCCATCAGAAGCGAGAGCCTTCACCTTTTCCAGACCATACAAGGGAAAACGACCAGACTTAAAGTGCTCTCACTGTGTGAAGATAGGTCGTCCAGGTGTTGGACACATAAAAGAAAAGTGCTGGATTCTTCATCCAGAACTTAAACCCAAGTTCAACGATGATGGAAGAGCACCAAGAAACCAAATGAAGCCTGCCTACACTCCTAGAGGAAACCTTGTTTGCGACAATGCCTCCAATAATGTGATGAACTCTTCTTCTAGTCCCATTACTCTCATAAATGAGTTTTCTAACTTCTTGCAACAGAAACAAGGAACAACAAATCATGAAAGTCCATCAGCCATGCTCGGCAAGTTTGCTGGCTTCCTCGAACAATCAAGCTCAGTGTCACAAAAAGACGTGCTAGGTATTGTTGCAACTATTTCCACTGCATTGGATCTTAGTAGTAGTCGTGATTTTTGGATAGTCGACTCAGGAGCTTCTGATCACATGACTAACGATGCATCTTTACTAAATGATTTTCAAAACTTTTCCACTCCTTTTGTCTCCGTAGCTAATGGCACCAAAGTTCGTATAGTAGGCATAGGGAAACTCAAAATCTTCTCAAGTAAAAAAGAATCCATTGTCATGCATGTCCCTTCTTTTTCTTTCAAACTGCTGTCAGTAGGAAGAATAACACAATTGCTCAATTGTCTTGCAATTTTTTCCACTCACTGTGTGATTTTCCAGGATCGAGTTTCGAAGGAAACGATTGGTAAAGGTTTCTTCCTCAATGGCCTGTACTATGTCAACTTCTCTTCAAGTTTTCCAAAGAGTTTCTACGTAAACTCAAACACAGTAAACAAGGAGCAGCTGTGGCACATGAGATTAGCTCACCCTTCTTCACATGTTATGTCTTTTATTTTTCCTAGTTTCTGTAAAGAGATCCCAGATTGTGAAGTTTGTCACAAATCTAAGTTACCAGGTTACCCTTTCCCTACTCTCTCTCTAGAGCTACCAAAGCTTTTGAAATTGTCCATTCCAACATTTGGGGACCTGCAACCTTAGAGTCTTTTGATGGTTACAGATTCTATATATCTTTCATTGATGATTTCTCTAGAACTACCTTTGTGTATTTACTTAAATTCAAGCACGAAGCTTTCCAGTGTTTCAAAAATTTTCATAACTTAGTTCAAAATCATTTTAACTCTAATATTGGCATCTTAAGGTCTGATAATGGCTCTGAGTACACTTCCAAAATCATGACAACTTACTTAAGTGAGCATGGAATTTTGCAACAAACAAGTTGTGTAGGAACGCCACAACAAAATGGCATTTCAGAAAGGAAGAACCGAGATTTGCTTGAGAAAACACGATCACTAATGTTACAAGCAAATCTTCCAAAGAAGTTCTGGTCTCAAGCTATACAAACCGCTGCATACATCATCAATCGCCTTCCTAGCAGAATCTTGAAGTTTAAATCTCCTTACTAAATTCTCAAGGGGAGAGATATT